AGAGGGACGGAAGAGAGAGAGAGAGAGAGAAGAAGAAAAGCGAGAGAGAGCGAGAGAAAAGAGAGAAGAGAGAACGGTGAGAGAAAGAGAGAGAGAGAGTGAGAGAGAGGCGAAAAGAGAGCGGAGATGGAGGAGAGAGAGAAAGAGAGGAAAGAGAAGATTTAGCGAGAGAGAGGAAAGAGACGATGAGAGGGAGAGAGAAAGAGAGAGAGGTGAGAGGGACAGAGAGAGAGGTAGAGAGAGAGAGAGAGAAAAAGAGAGACGCGAGAGAAGAGAGGCAGAGAGATGAGAACGAGAGAAAGAGAGAGAGAGAGAGAAGAGAGAGGAGAGAGTGAGAGATAGATAGCAGGTGGCGAGAAGGAGAAAGACAGAGTAGGATCTGTGAGATATAAAAACAGTTTCGCATTTATACCGATGAATATATATAGATTTATAATATATATATCCATACCGATGATATAATAATTTATAATAGTATATATTATAATATATATATATATATATATAATATCATACTCGCCATTAAGCGCTCAGCACATTCATGTAAATGCACTATTACAGCAGAATTATATTTTCGAAGGGGTTATGTGTTCAAAGATGTGATCTTGGCTAAAGTATCATTATTAAATTGTTTGCAGACGTTGAACGGTTTTGAGTGTTCATCATGAGCACTTCAGTGAGTGCAATTGTCGCGGCACTTGATGCCCCATTCGTGCACGCACGCGTGATTATGCATGACCCGTGCGTGATACAAACGTCAAATATAATATAACGCGATCATCACACTCACTTATTCGGTCAGACAGCTGTTTATGTAATCTTCAATCTTCAACTTCGAAAGACTAAACTTCCAACTAAATGCTGCCTCACTCTTACTGAAGTGGAGTGCTGGCCTGGGTGCGTGAACAGAAACTTGTAGCGGCCAGTTTGCGGCGGGTGTCGTGAGTAAACATGTTCATGTATTATCTACCACAAAACAGCGAAACAAGCACCGTACGCTTACGAGACACTACCACATGCAGGTGTTTACCGAATGTGCCATCAGTGGGGTGTCTTGGATTGAGAGATCTCCGCTTGAGGGCGCGGAGTATTTCGGGCTACGACCTCTGTCACCGTAAGGCCAACTCGCCTTGTGAATCTGGCTAGGTCTCGTCTGACCGTCGGTGTCGGGGATGTCTCCGGACGATGCCTTTCCGTAATTGCCTGCCGTAGTCTGCTTGCATGCTGCATCGGCTGATTGATCTGTTATTATCATAAATACGCTTTCGCGGCTGGCAGCTGTTTTCGTCGTGCTCAATTATACTGTAAATTACCTGACAAATTGAGGCTTCTTGGTTACCAGCCGATGACCTTACACTTAGTGTGTATACGCTATACACGGGTCTGAGGAAGAGGAGGAGGAAGAGTAAAAGGGAAGAAGAAGGCTCGTAGAAGAAAGAGGAGACGGTAGGAGGATTGACTGGTTTAAAAAAAAAGGCAGTATGATGAAGGAGGAGAAGGGCCACAATTTTTAGATAGGGGACTGGAAGCGACGGGGAGTAAGGGGGGACGGGAAGTAAGGGGGAGAAGATGTAAGAGGAGGAGGAGGATGGAGAGAGAAAGGGATGGAGGAAGATTTGAGGAGGAGGATGAAAGAGTAAGAGGAAGAAAGGGGTAGGACCGTGTAATTAAAGGATAGAAAGAAGAGGAGCGTATGACGAAAGAGAGAAGGAAATGCGTAGATGTACAGCGAGGCCACGAATAGGTACGGAGGGAGGCGGGAGGGAGGAGAAGAGTAAGAAGGAAGAAAAACCGAGTAGGATGGCGAGGCAGGAGGAGGAGGAGGGAAGAGGCAGAAGACCAGGCGAGCGAGGGGAGCGAGGACTGGAGGAGGAGAGAAGGAGAAGGAGAGCGGAGAGGAGGTGGGAGGAGCGAGGAGGAGGAGCAGAGGAGAAGAGAGGGGTGGATGGAGGTAGAGGAAGGGAGGAGGTAGGGAGGGCCAGGTGTGGTGGAGGTAGAGGGAGAACGGGGCTGGTGGTGGGTGGAGGAGACGAGGAGGCAGGAGGAGGGGGGAGGAGGAGGGGAAGAGGAGGATGAGCAACTATGTTAGTATAGTAGAGATCAGTGGTCGATGCAGGTAGCTCACCAGCAGCGGCTGCTGTAGGGGGTGCATCGGGGAAATGTCACTCGGTGCTTGTACCAGTTAGAGTATCTTATTATAGAAAGCTACTCTAAATATATAAAACTCTATATAGAAGGGGACTCTCTATAGAAAGGGACTCTCTATATAAAGGGACTCTAGTACCAGTGTACTTGTGGCGACTTGCAACGATGACAAATTCTCGTCCGACCAATCAGCGAGCACCATCTCATCACGTGATATTTCAATATAGCTACGCTCACGGCAACAAGCTGGAGCGATGAGAAAGAAAGCATTTTGCTAGATATGTGGATGGAGAGGCCGGTTTTGTTTGATGTTACACTGCCGGAATACAGCGATCGCACTAAGAAACATGTGGCTTATAAAGATGTCGCGATCCAACTGGAAATGACGGGTAAATACTGCCCATGCCGCCAGCGTCATTTTTCGCCAAATGGTAGCCAGTCGCTTGCATGCGCACACTCGGCGAGGCGTGCGACCGATCGCATGCGATTGCAGGTCGCAGCTACGCGCGACCAGAATCGCAAGACTGCGCTAGGCTTAACGTAGCGCAGACATCATATTCATCATGAGTCCGCATCATATTCAGAAACCATCGCTCGCCGAAGAACTAATCCGAATCCCACCGACTAGCGAAAATAGTTTCACGATGTTTAAACTTAGGACTTCAGCTAGGACATGGCTGTCAGGACTTCAGCAGCGAGTGTATATTGAAATTCTGAGGCGCATACAGTTTTACAGTGGCGCAAACAAATGGGAGGTCTCGCTCGCGTAACTGCGGCATGTTCTGCATCGGATTGCTTCGTAAACGGGTCGGATTTTCCGAAAATCGATCCGGAATTCGGAACGAATTTCCACGACTATAAGAGCACGCCGATCTACCGTACTTGACCATACTTTTCTATCGTATAAATTCCCCATAAAAATTCTATCGCATTTCCTGGAAGCCATCTAGGCAATAGGTGGCACGACGCTCTATTCTCTAATCATCAATAGAGTCACCCCGCACCGACATCACAGCGGCTAGTACGCGTTCGAATGTCCCATACCAGGGGTGAATAATGCCGATATAATCTCAATCCGTGTCAGAAATTCGCCTACACGATCCATTAATATGTGTACATATTAACCGTTCCTTATTTCCGAAAGCAAATATGCACAGGGCACGCATTAAATTGGCTAATGCCAAACCGACCTGTTCTGTGAGCGGCCATATTGAATAGGTTCATCCCTTTTCGGTCACAAATGGTGATGTATCTAGTGCGCGTGCATTTGCAGTACGCGTGCTCTGTATTCATGTAGTAAACTCATAATTGCATATTTTTTACAGGAAGCCATTTGGTCTGTTGTAATAACGTGGACTAATAAGAAATAACCAACGCTAGGTCAGATGTTTTTCGTCCTCGTAATGCCACGTAAATTTCCAAGGCCAGGGTTTTTATGGAACTGGCAATCCTGTCATAGGGAGCGAAACCCGGACACAATCGCAATTAATATATGCACGCGTATGAACATGGGAAGTACGTCACGATTTCGCGAACAACTGGGCACAGGTGCAGAAATCAAAATTTTTCGTGTTTTACGACAAGCGCACAAATTTTATGCATTGAACTAAAGTGATGATTGTGATTTATAAATACTCGCGTAGTCATAAAAAAATGACTTCCCGCATACCTAATCATGAAAACTAACATTCGAATATTTACTTAGCGTAGTAGCTGAAACAGCAACACGGATGCCAAATGTGATAGATCAATTTGTTCCAGCAGATCATTCCAGACACGTAAAATTAATGATTACCGTGGCTTGTTCGGTTTAGACGAACGCCAAATTGCCGAAAGCGGAAAAAAGTCAATCGCGCTGAGCAAGAAAAAGAAGCAAAGGGTGAAAATTGGGATGAGATGAGAGCATCGTGAGCAGGATGAGTAGCATACGTACCCAGTGGTTCTCCCATATGTTCATGATGAGAGCTGGACCGAGAGACCTGGCCGGATTCATACTTGCTCCCGTGTAGCTGTACTGCAAAAGACAAAAAATACTTCTCATAATATTATCATAACTACGTAGTTGTAATTGTATTCGTGTCAACGTTACGCCTGTATGACTGGGTGTTTGTGTAAGCCGCCATGATTATATATAACTGCATGACTGCATGGTTGTATGTCTGTATGACTGACTGTATGGCCGTATGTTTCTATCTAAGTGAATAACAACAAATGTTTGTTTTTAATCACTCGCGAGTCTATGAAAACATGATTGTGGTCTGCATGATTGCATGACAGTATGACTGTTTAACCGTATATCTGTATTACTATATCACAAAGATCTCTACGTGACTGTGGAACTATATATGACAATATTATGACACCGTATGACAGCATAACAGTCTGTATATATCTGTCTATATGTGACTTTGTAACTGTGATGCGCGTGTAGCTCTCACTTATAAAGTATTTCCAAACATCATTGAATCCAGTAATTAAAGTAATTGGGTAAATAATTAATCAGTTTATTAATTAGATGGTAATAGCATTAGTGATGTAACAATCCACCCAAAACTAATTGTGCATGATATGTGTATGACTGTCAGTATCATTTTGTATCCTATTTTAACTTGCTATTTTTACTATTATAGCTATATCTGTACGCGAGGTTGCGAGGTCTTACATAAACAATACGAAAAGTCGATGAGTTGAGTAGAGTTGTTGCCCCAGTTATCACATCAATCTGCCGATCAAACACTGGGAAATACGCAACGGCCCATTAATTCTTAATTAATTTCTCAGTCGGCACTTTGTCGTTGATAATGGCGCTTGACAGGGCAAGTTTAGAGCTTGATTATGCTAATTATAGGTCGATTCGTCAGCATCTTAAAAGAAAGACTCGTGTTAAATCCTGGAAAAGCAATTAGCGATAATCACGTGAGAAATCAATACCGTAATAACGTGAACATTAATTATCGTCAATTTGTAAAATTTAGTAAACAGTGCTAATGTATGCATACTGTATACAAGCCAGTGCCCTCATTGACGCATATCTGCATGATTAATGACAGCTCGGTGAATAATGCATACACGAGGCGTGCATGGTGTAGCACTGGACAATATGGCGCAAGGTGTAAAGAGATATTTGCAGTGACGCACGTGAATATCGACATTACCGATAACCCGTCTTCGATTAAACTATACAGACACACCCTGCGCATATTACGAGTATGCTTCTGTCTGTCCGCATCCAAGCATGGGTATTATGACGCGATATGAACCCTTGCAGGTATGCCGATATTGATATCAAACGATCGATGTGGATAGAGCGTATAACTCGAGACGTTCCATTGGCCTGAACGAACGTTGATGCACTTAGCAGTAGTAGAGCGATATGTGTGTGTGTGTGTGTGTGTGTGTGTGTGTGTGTGTGTGTGATGACATGACAATGGCAATGACAATGAACAATGAGCAATGATAATGACAATGACCAATGATAATGACAATGAAATCGACAATGCCATAACAATAACAATGATAATGACAATGACAATGACAATGACAAATGACAATTCGTCATTATTCACCCCTGGTATGGGACATTCGAACGCGTACTAGCCGCTGTGATGTCGGTGCGAGGTGACTCTATTGATGAATTAGAGAATAGAGCGTCGTGCCACCTAATTGCCTAGATGGCTTCAAGGAAATGCCGATAGAATTTTTATGGGAATTAATACGATAGAAAGAGGTATGGTCAAGTACGCGTAGATGCGAGGCGTGCTCTTATAGTGCGTGGGAGACTCCGTGGAAATTCGTATCCGAATTCCGGATACGATTTCTCGGAAAAAATCCGACCCGTTTACCCGAAGCAATCGCGATGGAGCAGAACATGCCGCAGTTAACGCGAGCGAGCACCTCCCAATTTGGTTATGCGCCACGTAGCAACTAGTAAATGCGCCTCAGCTTTTCAATATACCACTCGCTGCTGACAGGTGCCTGACAGCCAGTGTCGCTATGGCTGGAAGTCTAAGTTACAACATCGTGCTAATTATTTTCGGCATAAGTCGGTGGGATTCGGAGTTAGTTGCTTCCGGCGAGCGAATGGTTTCGTGAAATAGTATGGCGCGACTCATGATGATAATGATGTCTGTGCTACATTAAGCCCTAAGCGCAGTCATTGCGATGTCTGGTCGCCGCGTAAGCTGCGACCTGGTGCAATCGCATCGCGATCGTCGCCACGCCTCGCCGAGTGTACGCATGCCAAAGCGACCTGGCTACCATTTGCGAAAAAACGTTTGACGGCTGGCGGTACATGGCAGTATTATACCGCGTCATTTCCAGTTGGATGCGCGACATGCGTTTATAAGCAAGCATGTTTCTTAGATGCGGCATCGCTGTATTCACGGCCAGTGTAACATCGAACAAACAACCGGCCTTCCATTCCACATATCTAGGCAAAATGCCTTTCTTTTTCTCCATCGGCTCCAGCGTGTTGCCATAATTGAAAATATCACGTGATGAGATGAAATGCCGCTGATTGGTCGGACCGAGAATTTTTCATCGTGCAAGTCGCCACACGTAGATCTGGTACTAGAGTCCCTTTATATAGGAGAGTCCTTTCTATAGGAGAGTCCTCTTCATATATGAGAGTTTTATATAATTTAGAGCTCGCTTTCTATTATTAGAGACTCTAACTGGTTACAAAGCACGCGAGTGACTTTCCCGAATGCAACCACCTACAGCAAGCGCGCTGCTGGTGGAGCTAAGTCCTGCATGCGACCATACTGAATCTTTAACTGAAACTAACATAGTTAGTATCAGGTGGAGACGATCAAGTTTTGGCACGGACGGATACATGGAAAGATTCGATCGCATTACAGAGTTCATCGCGACGAGTGGAATAAACAATCAGAGCCCTGGCAGACGCGCTGCGCGGCGCCGACACCAGCCGCACACACAGCACACAGCACGCGCGGCACACAGCTGCCACACACACAACAGCACACACCCAGCACACACAGCCCCCAGCACACACACACACACACACGAACACACACACACACAATGCCACACACACCACACACACACAACAACACACATATCACATCAAGTGGACGCGGATGGGCTGCACACGAAGCCCCCGTCATCAGTATAACCCGGCAGCGACGTTCCTCCGACAAAATTTCGCCCACCTGGAGGCGAGGTTAGTGATCACTACGCGTTTGGTTGCGCATTTATATTCCCGCGAGCAACCGCGGATGGGCGAAAAATGGGCCGGTAATCCCCGTAATGCGCGGCTTCCAGCGGCGGGCAGCTGCGCTTCCGGGGGTGGCGACGTTTGTCGCTGCACTCCGAAACATAAAGATCATTAACTCTTACCCGATTGCAGAGCGGCGGCAATAAGAGACAAAACGACGGCGCGTCGTTATCGATACACTAAGCGCGGCGCCACATCTCCGCCTGCGTCGAGCGTGATAATAGCCGTAAGGCTAGGGGTGGCCGGCGGGACTGCGCAGGGAGGCGCAGCGGTGGTGGCGGTGAACATAGCACGTATAATATATGACAACACACGCGGCGCGCGCCGCACGTCACACACACCAAATACATACGCACACGCCAAAAAACACACCTCCAACACACATATATATATACATGTATATATATTAAAATATGTATTATAGAACAATATAGGTTCCGCGTAAAAAAAGTACAGCTAGTGCCTGCCAATCTAATGTGTATATATATGTGTATAATGTGTATATATATTGTGTATATTATGTGTATTAGGCAAACATTAAATTCTATAAGCTTATATATTGTCGATGTATGACAGTAACTAGCGAAGTCAATGACGTAGGGCGGTGGCGTTGCGATCGGGCAGGGACGTAGCAGTGGCGTCGTGAAATGCGTGCGCAGGAACATAGCGGTGGCGTGGTCGATCGCGCGCAGGAGCATAGCGGTGGCGTGGCGATCGCGGCAGGGACGTAGCGGTGGAGCGTGGGATCGCGGCAAGGACGTAGCGTTTTGGCGTTGCAAATCCGCGCGGAGGGACATAGCGGTGGCGTGGTGATCGCGCGCGAGGAATGTAGCGGTGGCCGTGGTCGAACTCGCGCGAGGGACGTAGGCGTGGCGGTGGCGATCGCGCTCAGGGACATAACGGTGGCGTGTGACGCCGTAGAGCAAAGAGGCAGTGGGCGCCGTTGGTGATGGGCGGCAATGCTTGACTTAGCGCAACAGGCACGTGTTCGAAATTGCGATGATGAAGCAAGACACGGCTATTCGGCGGTTTAGGAGATCGGCAATGTTTGGCGGTAGCCGTGATGAGTGTCGGCGACGCGTAAAGGGCGAATATTCTGTAGGCGATACGAGGGAAGAGCGACAAAAAAAAAAGAAAAAATGAGCCGAAAGCGAGGAGACGCGCGCTTAGGCTGAGAAAGAGAGAGATAGAGAGAGATAGAGAGCGAGAGAAAGAGAGAGAAATGAGAAAGAGAAAGAAAAGGGAGAAAAGGCAAGCCGCCTGCTCCCGCGCCGAGATAGAGTGTCAAGAACATGGCAAACCCTGACCCACGAACACATATACACAGACGAGAAAAGC